AAAAAGTAAAGCTCACTGATTTTTCTAGGGTCTTTCTGCTTTTCTCAATAAATAAGCTTCAAGGTTTAACTTCTTAATAGCAGTTGATTATTCATTAACATCCATAATCCTCAGTTAGATTTGGCAAGTATGTCTTTTTCCCTTGGATACTGTCTACTGCGGGCATTGGCCTTAAACTGCGATGCACCTCTGAATGACAAAGATGGGGCAGAGTCCAGGAACTGGCGGGCAGGAAAGCCAGTGAGAGTGGTGCGTAGTTCCAAAGGTCGGCGCATCAGCAAATATGCTCCTGAGGAGGGAAACCGCTATGATGGCATTTACAAGGTACAGACACATTTTTGTTGCCGAGCTGCTTTAAATAAGCAATCAGTCCCAGTATCCCAAAACTGCAAGTCTTTGATTTAGTTTTACCAGCTCCAAAGACTCACAAACAGCTGAATTATATATATGGAATGTAATTACTGTTGTTGGTTGGCTGTAGGTTGTAAAGTATTGGCCAGAGATTGGCAAGTGTGGTTACCTGGTGTGGCGGTACCTGCTGAGACGAGACGACTTGGAACCAGCACCATGGACACCTGAAGGACTGGAGAGGATAAAAAAACTGGGCCTTGCCGTTCAGGTTAGAGTACGAGTGTGCCTGCATATGTGTATTTGTGTGTGAACGTCCTTGTGTAGACATATGTTTAGTTACTTTTTCATGTGTTTTCTAAGTGAAAACACCTTGCAGTTTCCCATCAATTTACATTCTTTTGCATTCATATGCACATCTCCACATTTCAGATGTCAAAATAAGATAGCAGTCCACTTGATGCTCATGTCTTTTCATGTGTATCTGCAGTACCCACCAGGATACTTGGCGGCTATGGCTAACAAAACAAAGAAGGAGGCCTGTGCCAGACCTGGTCGTGGCGGCCGGACTAAGCACTATCCAGGGAGGGGAAGGCCACGGAGACAACGCAAGCTCAAGGAGAAAGAGGAGAATGAGCAGCCAATGGCCAGTGTGGAAGAGGAGGGGCCACAAAGTAATGGAGAGCAGAAGACAACCGGAGATTGTGGTGGGTGCTTACACAGTTGAAGTTCAAAAGCAGGTCAGGCAAGGTGTTGTGAGAAGAGGACAGGTGAGAACAGTGTTGGCAGTCAAATATCGTTTCAGATAGGTGAAAAAAAATACTAAAAAATCCCACTATCATATTTTCCCTGGAGGAGCATCACTGTAAATGTTGTTTGCTTAATAGCTTATTTTTAAAATATCATGACTGTATTTTATTCTTCAAGAGTAGCTGCTTTTTTTTTGTTTTGTTTTGTTTTGTTTTATTCGTGTCTCTTCACCAGAATCGTCACCAGCAACAGAGCCTCCCTCTAAACGGGTGAAGATAGAGGAGACCTTCCAGCTGTCTGAGCAGCAGCAGCAGTTGATCCAAGAGGACACAGCCAACAAGAAACTCTGGGATGAAGCCATGGAACACCTTAAAGAGGGACCGGTATGAATCCCAATACACCCTGGCACTCTTAACATAGCTCAGGCTCTTTGATGCTGTGTTCACAAAGCATCTCATGCTCTTAACTCATTGAACATCACTGATCCATGAAAATACAATTCATCCCCTCTGTCATCAGATCTTAACTGCCTCAGTCAGTTCCCTCTTATTTTCTGATTTCCAGACTAATCAGTCAGCGTTGTAACAATTTGTTTCTACAGTTGTAACATACTGTTGGTTTGTCATCTATTTTCTTGCCTTTCATGCATTTCTGTCTGTTTACACCAAGAATTTTCTGCGCAAGATGGAGCAGATCTTCATGTGTGTGTGCTGCCAGGAGCTGGCCTTCCAGCCCATCACCACTGTCTGCTTGCACAATGTTTGCAAGGTGCGTTCTATATTGGATTTATTTGTAAGTACATTACACAAATCCCTGTCACTGTATTTGTGTGTGAGTTTCTCCTGCTGTCCTCTCTGCTCAGACTTGTCTCCAGCGGTCGTTCCGAGCGAAGGTGTACACTTGCCCCGCCTGCCGTCACGACTTGAGCAAGGACTACGTTATGACCCAAAACAAGACACTTCAGATGCTGCTTGACCAGTTCTTTCCTGGCTATAGCAAGGGTCGATGAGGTTGAAATCACATTTATACGTACATAGACGCACATAAGCATCCATTCTGTGCACCCTTGTATACGGTCACGTACCTAGAGCTCCACTTTAAAATGTATTGCGCACACATACTGAACTTAGCCATATGCAAATTTATATTGCATATACAGCCATTTATGTATACAATCATTCATACACAAACAACCTCAGTAGGGACTGACCTCATCTGTTGAACTTGGACTGTCTGCATTAACACCACCAGCCTGAAATTCAACCAAGGACATTTTTACCCTCTTTACTTCTGCCACACAAATGCACAAACGGAGTCTCAACTTGTACTCCAACTTCCCAGCTCAAACATATTAGCTCATTTTATAGTTTTTCCTTCCACTGTGTTGTCCACTGGGTCCATGAATTGACACAGAGCTAATTGTTTGAAGGCAGCTCTCGTGCTGTTAGATTCCTGCCAACCTGTACGCATTTTGTGTACCATGTACGCAGTTTTACAAAAACTTAATGACCTGAGCAGAGTGTTCAGCTGGCACAAAATGGTGCTTGGTTAATACAATGATTATAGGCACAGCAGGACTGGCAATTTCACAAGGTCATTAAAGACGGATGAGAAAACACCCCCTGTACAACCTTAACTGTGATAAGGATAATCACCTTTATTGGCCAAGTATGTTACACACAAGGAATTTGTTTCCGGTACAGAACCAAGGTAGCCATCTGCAGCGCCAACTCACACCGATGGCTCTAACCATTGGGGGCAACAGGGGGGTTCGGTGTCTTGCCCAAGGACGCTTCAACACGTGGACTGCAGTCACCGAGATTTGAACCTTCAACCTTCTGGTTGGGAGACGACTGCTCTACCCACTGCACTGTTGCCTCTGACAGTTGGCTTGTTACAGCAAGGTAAATTTAGCAAAGGCCAGAATTAACATGTATTTATATTTAAAAAAAATTAAGCACACAATATTTTATACCCCTTTAGCACTTTATTACTGATATGTGCAGCTGTCTTATTTTGGAGGTTAATCAGGGGCATCCTGCTCGCTGTTCATGTCACTTGTAACAATGCAATTGCTGCGCTTTGAGCTAATAAGAATAACAAATATGTCACCATGGACAACTTTCAGTGCAGTTGCAGAGAACAGAAACTGTGTCCAGTTTATTTGGAGTGTTAGAAAGTTTGTGGCTCTAATAAACTTTACATACTTAGTGATCAACAGGCACAACTCTCTCCTTAGAATATATGCGGAATCCTAGAAAGGAATTTACTTCATAATCATACCAAAGACATGAAACTATCTTAAGAAATCTGCACTCTTCCACCTCTTCAGTCAGATGATATTAACTGAACCGTCCGCATACTTTAGGCAAGTATGATCTGGTATTTGTCTTCCAGAGAAATACAGTTATGATGTAATGGAAATGAATGATGCTGATTTACATGCAGCGCTCTAAAAATGCATGAGGTGCATTGCTTGAGCATTCATTTCAATGACTCGTGAAAGGGCACGCTGTGGTCGTCCCTGGTGTTACCAAGCAACTACAGTCAAGGAGGACTTCACGCGGAGATAGTTAACACATACTGTGTTCAGCAGATATTCATCAGCTATTGTTCTATCCAGCATGATCTGCTTCTCTTTTATTTTAGAAAAGTCGTTTGGTGAGTGATTGCACAGCCAGGATGATGCAGCTTACTTGTTGTCACGTTGAAACCAGAAAATGGAAGTACAGCTGTCTCAAGTTCCCAGAGCTGAGCCTGATAAGAGGCCACTGATTTCTATTCCCTGACAAAGAGCTTTCTGAAGAACATAGTGGTTAAAAGGCTCAGGAACGCCACCAAAATACGCAGTGTTCCTCAATAAGTGTATAAAAAGTACTTAAAGTTGGCATCCAGTGCCCACTCATTTTCTTTAAGCTGGTAATGTATTTTTATAATCAGGTATACACTGATTTAAAGTAATAATTACTAGACTATTTAATTTAGACTATTTTATTGTATGACTGCTTGTGTTTAGACAATGTTTAATATTTAAGATCTTCACCTGTTAAATAGGGAATGAAGGTTTTGCAGAAAAGAGTTGATGTTCTTCATAGCAAAGTATCTAGAAAGTGTGTTTTAGAACCCCAGAAAGCAAAAGAGCCTTTCAAAAGTGCATATGTGAGAGGTATATGAGCACACATTTCAGTACTTTTATTAATATGCTACTGAATGTTTCAGTAGGTAGTCTGTTTTGTTACAACTGGACACATCATTGAATACATAACGGAAATGGCCTGAAGGTAAAGTTTGAATTGCATGCTACACAACCACCCCGAGTCACCGCCTTTAATACAGAAAAATGGGAAGAGGTGGATTTGAACACGTGTTAAGAATTGAAAGTATTAGTTTTTTTCACAGGTAAATAGGTTATTACATGATGAGTGTTAACAAAATACTACCATCGAAAAAATTGATTCATCTTAACAAACTGTGGACAAAACAAGGCAGTGGACCACTGGATTAATTATTATGTAATTTTATGTTTGTGTTTGAGAGAGAAAATTCAAATGAACATTAAATAACAGCTTTGACCCTGATGCAGCAACAACTGGTCTGAACAAAGTTTGTTCCCATTTTAAGCTTTTTTTTTTTTTTTTAAATCACCTTCCATGGTTTTTCTCTGTTTGAGCCAACATAGCATCTTTTACTGCCACACACGATCAAATATTTGTCGACAGTAATTAGACACATTGCTGCATAGCCTGCACAGTATTGCATCTGTTGCACAGCCCAAGCAAATCTCCATTTCCTATATTTTTCCCCTCAATTCTTGAGCAGCTAACAACGCATCTTCCAGCGCTGATATGGTACTTTAAAATGTCCAGGGTTGGCAGGTCTGCTAGGAGCTAAAGCAAAATCTCCCCATGGACAGCACATAGGCAGCAGCAGAACCTCTGGACAGAGGTCTCCTGCAGTGCTGGAGTTCAGACAGCATCTCGAAGTGTCAGCCCTGTGATAGACTGGCAACCTGATCAGGGTATACCTCATCTCTCGCCCAGTGACAGCTGAGATTGGTTCCAGCAACCCTCTTCAAGATACACGGTATATAAAATAGATGGTTGGAATATAGCCCTTGTTCACTGACACCATCACATTCACATGTAACAGCCTTCAAGGCAAAGCATCTTTTGTGTAGAGCTAAGCTTCTCACTAAGCTCTGCCCAACCCCCGCAGTGGTACTGACACTTCTTCCCCTTCCATTGGCGGGCTGTTTGTTTGTGGTGATGTCCTTGTTTCCGTTCAGATCATTCAGGATTTTTACATTTTATCAACAACATTCAAGTACAAAAGTTACTATGGTCTTTAAAGCTAACTGTGATGTGCATCACTTCCACTGTTGCTCAGTCTTGTTCAAAGATTATTTTCTTCCTGCACTGACTGGAAAAGCTAATAACCCTTCTTTCTTTCCCTGCTGTGACCTTCGCTCCCTCTTCTCTCTTTCCGCAGTCTTCTGCCCTCCGTGAACCTACAGTACTAACAATTTTTAGACGTCTTGTGGACGCTTGGCTTCAGTGCTGTTATTTTTATTGCACTCTATTGAAGAAAAAAGTTTGAAAAATCACATTTAATTTTCCTAGAATGCTTACTATTATGTCCGTATGTCACTTTTCTACCATAGTTGCTTCTCTTCTATTTTACTCATTAGTCATTTTTATGTGGCAGACTCAAACATTTGCAGCGTAAGGCAGTCTGAGTTTCATTGCTTCATATTGTGATCTGAAATTTTATACATGTCATAATACTTGATATGTAACTATTAAATATTTGGATTCCAGGGAAAGAAAAACAACACCTCTCTTGTTTTTGTCATGTATTTTACAGGCCATTCTCAAATTAATTTAGTTATGTTAATCACAGCTGTTTGACCTTAGGCCAATAAATCGTTTTTTAATGGAGTTTGAATAAAATTACCCTGAAAACCTTTAAAGACATACAGTATATTTTACATTTTTTCCCCTTACAGAAATTAGCATAGTGCTCCCTGGTCATGATATTTTACAGTGCTGGTGGCTGCAATTTTGTTCTAATAGCTATACAATAATGTGATCATTTTCATGGTAAATTTTTTTTCTTTACAAACAAGTAGGCTACTGAAGTTAAATAAGGAGTGTTTTCTTAGTCATTTGAAGAGGAAGTTAAGGTCATGAATTTTAAAATTTTTAAGCTTAAAATGAACACACCTATTATTCTCAATAAATATGGGAAATGACAGTCTACATTGTGCTTGCATAGTGTATGATAAAAACTAAAGCACTTGTGTTAGTTTGCCAGTAAACTGTGGGTGCTGCCAAATGAATACTTGGATTACGCTTCATGTACAAGCACTGTGACATCATAATTAGCATTGACATCAGTGGGACAAAAAAAAACAGAGAACTTTAATTTGGAGAGCACCGGGTGCCACTTCTGCCTTCATTAAAAGCCCTGCACGTCCATACAGGTGTGGCCTATTCCTCCTGATTAGAAATCTGCTCAGGTTAAAAGAGCGCTACTTGGAAATTACATGAGGTCACCAGTCACCAAGTGCCTTTACAATCAAACTTTCTTTAACCATCACCTTACTAAAACAGTTATAAAGTGCTTTACATGGGAAATTTGATGATTAAAAGGTTCAGTACTAGTTAAATAAAATCAGGCAAACAGAATTAGAGTAAAATGTCTAACAGTAAACTAAGAATCTGTGGAAGAAAAAAACTGGAAATGGCAAAATTCATCATTTAAAAGATATGGTGAGCAAGTACAATGTCAATCAAGTGGTTTGTGTATGCAGAGGTCTGAGAGGAGGGTTAATTAGCTCAAGTGAAATCACCTGCAACTTTTAGCTCCTTAGTCAACTGTAGAGTGAGTAGCCAGTTACACCTACAGTCAGCATATGTAATGTTCTTCATCCACCACTGGGCTCCTCCAAAAGTATCAATGCATTGTCAACAGCACAGCATGAGTGTATCACTTAATGTTCTTGCTTTAAGGATGAGGCTATGGCACAAAAAAAACCCTTTGCAATAGGGTTAAGCAACACG